CATATACATCTCAGATTCTTTTTTAGGTAAAACTTTTAGCCAAGTGCACAAGAGATTACATCCATTTAATCACCACTTGGGTCAAGAAACAGAACCTGACCAGACACCCGCCTCATGCCCTTTTATCATCTCCTCCTGCCAGGGTGACCGCTGTTCTGATTTCACTCACTCTGTTACTCTTGCCTCATTTTGAATGTTTTATAAATGGAATCATATGCTAAGCACTCTTTTACATCTGACTTCTTTTGCTAACATGATGTTTGTGAGATTCATCCAAATCATAGTTTGCTTATTCTCATTGCTGCATATTATTCAATTTCATGAAGACATCACAAATTTATGTATCCATTTTAATGTTGGTGGTTTTCAGGTTTGCACTCTTACTGATGATGCCACCAGGAACATTCTAGTATGTGATTTGGTAGCTATGTGTATGCATTTCTGTAGGGTAAATATTTTTGAGTGGAATTTCTGGGCAATTGGGTTTGCATAAGTTCAACTTCAGGAGCTAGTATCAAATGTTTTTGTAAAGTGGTTGTACCAGTACATTCCTACCACAGTAGTATGGATATTGCAGATACTCCACACCTTTGCCAGCAGTTATTGTTTGTCAGCCTCCTTAATTTTAGCCATTCTTTTGAGCTTACTGTGATATTTAATTAAGCCTTTAATTTTGGTTTCCCTGAGGCCTAATGAGCTTGAACACATTTTCATGTTTATTGACTTATTCAAATATCCTCTTTTGTGTGGTATCTTTCCCATTTGTTTTATAGATTGTCTTTTTCTTAGTGCTATATAGGAATTCTTTGTATCAGTATATGAGTCCACTGTTGGTTAGATGTATTGCAAATATCTTCTTCAGCCTGTGATGTGCCTTTTCACTTTTTAATGGTACCTTGTGATAAATACAGATTCCAAATTTTAGTGTAATTCATCAATTTTTTCTATTTTGATTGGTGGTTTTAGTGTCCTGTTTAAATTTTTTTGCCTATTCCATGTTCATGAGGAGATTCTGCTATTTTTTATACTAGAATTTTTATTTTTAAAAAATCTTTCACATTTGGATCTACAGAGCACCTGGAACTCATTTTATACATGGTATAATATAGGGGTCAACATTCACTTTTTCTATGAATATTCAGCTGACTCAGCACTGTTTACTTAAAAGTCCCTCCCCCAATGCTCAGCAGCATCAACTTGTCATAAATCAAGTAACCACATATGTATGGGTCTGTTGCTGAACTCTATTCTGTTCCATTGCTTATTCGTCTATTCTTGTGCCAATACCATGGTATCTTAGTGACCATAACCTTTTATAGTAAATCCTGATAGCTAAGAATGTTACTCCTCCAATTTTGTTCTTCTTTGAGATTGCCTTAACTATTCTTGTCCCTCTAATTTCTGATCAGCTTCTCCATTTACATAGGCACACACCATACAGCCTACGCTGATTTTAATTAGAATTGCAGTGAATCTAGATCAATTTCAGATGAATTAACATCTTTTAATTCATGAGTATGGTATATCCTTCAGTTTAATTAGGTATTCTTTAGTTTTCATTAATGGTAGGTAGTTTCCCTGAGCTAGCACCTCCAGTATAATGTTGAATACATGTAACGATAGCAAGGTGTCTTTGTCTCATTCTCAATTTTAGGAGGAAAGCATTCATAAGTTTACT